AATAAAACATGATTTAGGTGTATGAGCAGTGGGAATGGGGGCAGAAGGGGATGGAGGCAGATTATACAGATGAAACATGAAATGCTGGTGGGGCAGACAGCAAATTGCAGATGAGCCAGCACCATGATAGATGAAATGTGAAAATAAAGTAAAATCATGAAAAAGGAGAGTAGGTCTTGCCGTGGCACTTTGTAGTATTGAGGCTGAAACAGTAACAGAGTTAGGCAGGAGGACAGACACTCTAGAGACTAAGTAATGTTTTTCAAAACCAGCATGGAGCGAAGTCAAAGCAAACTAGTTCCCACTCTCATAAGATGGCATACTTCTCCTGAATCAGATTTGCCCAGCAACTGGTTTGATTGTGAAGGGCAATGTACCTTAGAGTGGTTTTGTGCCTCGGATGGCTGGCAACAGAACAACAGTCAAAGAGAAAAACAAAACAAAAACAAAACAAAACAACAGCAACAACAATTGTGATAGCACAGGCTACTAGTGATAACCTGGTTAACAATATACTAAGACATCCACTATGCCAAAGTTTGGCGTGTGGCTTAGATGTGTTCTTTGGTCACTTCTCACTGTATACATGAGAGGTAGGTTTTTCCAGCTCATAATATTATGATCTCTGCTATTACCGGGAAAGGGGCTCAAATTAGCCACATAAGACTTCAGACAATCTAGTAGTCCCTAAGTTATTATCTTCTGATTAAAACAAACTAGGTATGGTCAATTTGAAATAATTCAAACAACTTTAATGAGATTAATTAAAAACATATAAAGAATCATAAGTGTTGGATAATAATTTTAAGTGGTAAAACAAGTCAATTAACACATCCACCAGAGGGTGGCGGCTAAGTTCTCCTAAGACCCAGAGTGGCTGAGGATGATCGATTGCTCCCAAAAGTCTCAGCTGGGGTCAGCTGGCGAATGCCTACCCAACCAATTGGCGAGTGCCAGTACGACCCAACAGTTGGGAAGGGTGCAGAGCACAGGGACAGGGCAAAAGAAACTGCCTTGGAAATCTTTTTCCTGCTTATAAGGCCAACCACAGGAAACTGTCCCCTGCCCACTGCATATCGGGAGTTCCTTCAAACTGCCCAAAATTTGTAGTGATTCAGAGACTAGGAGACAGCACCATACTAGCTGGCATGGGATCCGTTTAGCAACTCAAGCACTTGAGATGAGCTCGTTGAGGCTTCCCGGGGCCTGGCAGATAGACACTCAGTTTGAAAGACTGAGCTAATTTCAAGGGACAAAGACTGTGACATCAACCTGACAGCTAGGGAAACACGGCAAACCCTACCCAGGGTCTTTTAGTCGGCAGAAGTGTTGCTGAAAAGCAGGAAGCGTCATGTACAGTTAAATAGACGGAGAGTGGACCTTCTCCCAGTCCACTGGGCATCAATGCAGCAGAAATACCTAAGATGCCAAGCAGTAAGACATGGATGCCTAGGGAGGGAAAGAACATGGGGCTTGCACCTATCAATCTTCCGAATACCTGAAAGCATTGTGTCTGCCTTGTATTCTGCCCAGGAAACAGGGCATTTTCTTCAGAGGGACTGAGCGTGCGTTCCCTGCAAGGTGTAGAGAGGCCAGTCCCCCTCTCAGCTTCCTCTAATCTGGGCCATGGAGTCCGGGCCTTTCCACCATCCATCTGTTTGAGAACTGAGAACACAAGACAACTCTTGATCCACATGTCAACAGGGACCTTCCCACCTCTGCCCACAAGCAGCTGAGGCCACAGGGACAGTTGGTTTTGTCCATCAACTAAGTTGTGCCCGTTTTTTTGTTTGTTTGTTTTTTGATGCCTTGAATTCTAGAAAACTATTTTATCCTTTTGTATCATCGAGGCAAATAAAACTGGAGGAAAAAAAATGAAGAAGACATAGTGAAATGCAAGCAATGGATTGAAAGTGCTTCGTGAGGATCTGAGGTTTGCTAAAGTGACAACGGGAAGGAAAGGACAGGCAGAGTTGCTTGGTTGGTGACTAAAGGGTTGAGAGAAAACAGAGTTTACCCCTACTGTTGACCAGAAAGAGTTCTGAATAAGTCAAATTAAAATGGAAAACGAAAGGAAAGGAAACACAACTGAGGGAGGGAAATGACTGTACAGTCTCTGAGTCAGAAAAAAATTTCCACATGTAAAATTAATGAATAAAACTTCAAATCAAGTTGTTAATAAACTTTATTTGAACAAAAGTACACAATTTGATATCCACAGTTTCATGGATAAAATTTAAAGTTTACCTTTTCAGTAAAATGACAGGTAAGACATCATTTTTTTCTTCCATCAAATATGTGTATAAATATAGACACATTTGCGTATGTGTGTGTGTGTATTTGAGATTATAAATTACTTATGACACTTCTCCCTTGCCTTGGGAGAGATCTTTAACCAACTGGTGGACAGTAACATATAAAACATTCACAGGACTCATATTTGAACTAAAGTGTTATTACACATACACACTTTAATGGCAGAACCGTGTTGAGTCAAACTAAAATTGAAAAGCCCGAACATTGCAGATGAATAGCACACTCTAACCCTGCGCCTAAGTAACCTGAAAATGGGAATAAAGTTACATAATTCATAGCTTTTGGTCTCAGCATTCCATATTAGAAGTACTCCTCAAAAATATAGTCATGCTTTAAAACATGTGTTTTCAAGGACGTCCATTACAGTTTTTAAGACTGTGACATAGCGGAAGCAACTTCAACACTGAAAACAGAGTGGCTAGCAGCATTCGTGATGATATACCTCAGCTCTCAGAAGTGACAGACTCACCATGGTGCAGGAAATGTTCCAGTGGAGTGCTACGTGGATGGGACACAGCAGAGGGACACGTCCTGTGTGAGATGGAAGTCCAGATCCCTTCACAGGAAGACCAGACAGCAACCCATGACAAACAGTTCCTCAAGCATAGGGACAGCCACGGAACCATCTCTTCTTTAAACACAGCATCTCTGAGCTTTCTGTGACAAAGCTGGGTAGTTTTGAGCACTATAAGAGAAAATAAAGAGCTTAATAAGATCACCGCGCTTCTTATCGGCATGGCTGCAACAGATTGAAACGTTCAAACCCTGTAGGGAAAATAACCTGAAATCATTCAAGGTCACAGCTATTCCCTTCAGGACCGTGTCTCTGCCCTGTGAAGCAATAATTTCACTAAGAATATCCAAAAAATAATTTCTCTACCTAAAATTACAAAGAAAACTGGGAAAAAGAAACTGCTACATTTGATTGTGCACAAATAAAATGCTCATTTTTTTTAAAGGCATAGATATCATTGAAAGCTAGAGTGAGTGTCACCATCTTAGACAAATAGTGTATGGAGAAACAGTGTATGGAGAAACAGTATATGGGAAAAATAGTGTATGGAAAAGCAGTGTATGGAGAAATTGTGTCTGGAGAAACTGGGTATGGGAAAACAGTAGATGGGGAAATAGCGTATAGGGGGCTAGTGTATGGAACACAGTGTAAGGAAAAACACTTTTAGAAAAGCAAGCGACATTTTATAATAATAGAAAGACATGTACCAACAAATGTTTCTATTCTATAAGGATATATTAGAATGTACTGTTATGAAAAAATGTGTGTATGACTTTTTGGACACATTCATCATAACAGAATCTTAAAAACATCTCAGTGTATGTCAGTTACACAGCTGTGGCCATTCACCCATGAAGTGACTTAGAGAAGAAAATCGAAAGTCTTAAGAAAAAATGGAAGAAAGGCTCAAAGAAAATGTCAGCATATCTCAGTTGTTTCCTATTATGGAAGCTTTTTACTTATATCTGCATTTTGGTGCATTTTTCACTGTTTCTTGAGGCATACTTCCATAAATAAAAATCTGCTCATCTTGATCAATGCATGCTATTTGTTATGCACAGAAGTGTTACGTCGAACCCCATTATTACATGTATCAAACACAAATTAATAAATGTTTAAATTGTTTTTTTTTTAACTTAGGGGATACTGGTCGGTACGAGAAATATTAAATAATTTTAACACATTTAAAATTCTAATACAGTTAGTGATAGAAGGTGCCAGTGGTCTATTGCAGTTAGTGACAGAAGGTGCCAGTGGTCTATTGCAGTTAGTGATAGAAGGCACCAGTGGTCTTTCTGAGCACTCACATTTACTTCTTACATAAAGAATTTTTTATTATGAATATATTGGTCTAATTATTAATTAATGGACATGATTCCAATGCAGCAATTAATATATAGTTTTAACGGCAACACACAAGGGATTGAGAAACGCTTCAGGAGTAAATTGTGTTTGCAGTTCTTTCAGAGGATGTAAGTTTGTTTCCCAGCACCTGTGTTGGACAACTCACAACCAACCACATGTTACTCTCAGCCTATGAGGTGCCCATGTCTCTGGCCACCATGGGTACCTACACACACACACACACACACACACACACACACACACACACACACACACTATAACAAAACAGCAGCACACACTCTCCTCACACTATCTACAATGGGAGGGGAGGCATATCTCAAAAAGCTTGCAAAGTCCCCTGTAACAAGTAAGGAATTTGAGTGACTCTTGTATGTCCATGTCCTAGCTTGTTAGGGGCATTCCTCTGAAAAGAACATTTGAATGAAATATCTGCTGGTGACACCAATTCACTAAAGGACACTCCTAAATGTCAGTCCTTACTAAGGAAGGAAGATGCTCACCTTTCAGCTCCAAAGCAGGAAGATGTGCAGAGAACAGTGATGAAGACCATCCATACCCTCAAAAGGAAAGCCTGTGACAGAGTGCCTGGAAGGCCAGTTGGTATCTGCATGGTCCGGAAATCTCAATGCTGAGTTATCTGCATTCTTGAAAATATTCACAAGATGAATGAGAAACTACAGCCCCAACTATCGTCGCAAACATTGACTGGTTTTTATCAGGTCATGATTCTGGATTCAATGCTGAAATCATTGACTATCCATGAATACCAATGAGAAGACACAGTCACTTAAAAAGGCATTATTTAACACTTACCTGGCAGCTGAGATGCCATGATCTAGAAGGTGGTTTTCCCAAAGTGAAGCTTATCAATTGTTTTCCAGGTATGCCAAGCCCCACAACTTCACCAAACACAGAACATCTCACTGCATAATTTGTGACCCTGGGAACTTGTGTTCATGCTTTTACCTCTTACAAATACTTTCAAAAGGAAAAATGCATCATCTAAGTCTTCAAATAGCATGCCATTTGTACTGACAGCAATCATGGAGTCTGACACTTTGTAACCGTAGCTATGTCGTCCACCGGTCCTTCTCCTCCCACATCTGTACAATGGGTAAAATGAGAAGATTGAAACATGTGCAGTTTGAAACTGAAAAATAGTAACCCAGGATGACAGTCTTTTGTAGTTTTGTAAACCATGAAACCATGGGAAGAGAGAGGAGGAGGGAGGGAGGGAGGGAGGGAGAAGAGAGAGAGGCAGAGAGAGAGAGAGGCAGAGAGAGAGAGGCAGAGAGAGAGAGAGAGAGAGAGAGAGAGAGAGAGAGAGAGAGAGAGGAAG